ATATGTTAAAGTATTTCATCATATGTGATTGAACTACTTGCAATGTAAATTAACTGATTGTGGTTTTGTATCTTGTGGTATTCCTTTGTGTTATATAAGTTTGTTGTTGACTTAATAAAAAATTGTTATTTAAAAAAAAAGAAAAAAAAAGAAAATGCGTCAAAACACAGGTGCCTTGTAGTACTGTATAAGCAATCATTAAAAAAAGCAGATGAAAATCTTATTAAATAAAATGATGAAACAGGAAATCTGTCAGCATACTTCACAGAATGAAAGCTGGGTAACCCTGCACTTAAAATACATGTTGGTGTAACAACAAAAAAAAGCAACTATTAATAGGCACTGTGTCTACCAAAGTATTTAAAGTGAAATGACGTGAGAATACTCTTCCATTCTCAGATAAAGTGTACAAACATGCAACCATCAAACACAGAGCAGGACCAAGTTCATCATAAAGAAGGCTCAACCTTACAATGACATGTTCCCTCATGTGAGCATTTCCACTGAGATTTAGTATCACCTACACCCTAGTCTAGTACTTCAACTCTGTTTCTAATAGGGGCATTCCAGCACCCCATCAGATTCACACTACACAGAACAAAGAGAGATCTGCTGCTCTGAAATGTGCATGCAGAAATCTGAGCAGTTTTATGCAAATTCATGCCTGGCGTGCAGTTGCACAGGTGCCCTGGCAGAAAAAAAGTAGCATCCTTGCTTATAAAATCACTAGTCCCTGTGAATAACAATCATATAGATTATTTAACTGAAGATTAAACTACCAAGAGAGTGTGTCTAGTTTGGACTTGGCCACTGAGAAGGCAGGAAGGAAATCAGCACAGCCACTGATCCATAAGCAATAGCTTCTTTTTATTCAACAAGCATCTGTATCTCTCTGCACCATGTGTTAAAAATTAGTGGCTGCTTCAAATTCCAAAAGGAAAGTTTCCTGCATTTTATTTTTCCATAACGTTGCTTTAAAAAGAAAGTCTGAACAGCCAAGGATTCTTAGCTGCTCTTGATGTTTCTCCTCTTTTTGGCAGAAGTGATGAGCAGACTGCTCTCCAGCAGTCAACAATTGCCAATTCTCCCTCTGGCTATCCCATGACACCAGGATCTTCACATATAGTTCCCAATATGTTCCCATAATTCCCCCCCCCCAAATACCTTTTATTTCACATTGCATTGTCAGAATTGCTTATTTCGCTCACAATCTCTTTAGTCCCTTCTCAGCAATAACCCAGTCTGAAATTTGCTTCTTCCTGGGGTGGACTAAGAAGTTAAAATGGCCTGAAAGAAATCTAGACAATGTGCTTCAGGCCAGCACTGCAATGGCCATTCAGCTCAGACTTGTCCAGCAATGGGTGTCAGATCACCAGTTGCTTCCTCCTAGACTGCCACAGGCAGAGCTACTGAGGCTTGGATCTGCTTGTTTCTGGCTTGTCAGTAGCCCTCCAGTGGGAACTTTCCCTATACATTAAATGGCTAGTCTGCCCCTGCTTCCAGCACATGGCTATTCTTCAATAAAACCTTCTTCTCCATTGCCCCTCCAATAGCCATCTGCCCAATTTACCCTTTCTGTTCATTTCTATGCGCACATCTCTGTGTTATTATGAGTACCCTTGAGCCCAACATCAAAAGTGAAAGGTGTTTAGTCATAGAATATTGACCTGGAAGCTATTTTTCCTAGCCTTGGAAATGAAAGGGTACTCTGCAGATGCTCAGAAGTATATCACATGCATTTAGGGCAGTTTTCCAGGCCCCCCAGTTTCCTTCTCCACTGCATCCTCACAGCAACCCTGTGAGGTAGTTTAGACTGAGAGTATGTGACTGATCCAAGGTCACCCAGGAAACTTCCACGTCTGAGTGGGGATTCAAACCTGGTTTTCCCAGATCCTCATCTGACACTCTAACTACTGTACCACGTGTGATGGACACCTGAATTAGCTGTACCCCTGAGTCTTCCTGGCTAGATCTTGCCTACAGCTTTAAAGTGCATGGGTTACCTACACCAAGTTCAATGCTTAGGGGCTTTTTTCCTGCTTCCCCACAGTATTGTGGTGCATGTAGGGTTGCCAGAGTACAGTCCGCAACCCCTCAGGAGCCATGGGGGCGGGCGAGGCCTGGCATGCCAGGACTGCACACCAGCGCATCTACACCACTTCAGATTCAGATGTATTAATATGGACTAAAGGTAAAGGTTTCCCTTGCTCAAAAGCCAGTCGAATCTTACTCTAGGGGGCGGTGCTCATCTCCATTTCCAAGCCGAAGAGCCAGTGCTGTCCGAAGACTTCTCTATGGTCATGTGACTGACATGACTAAACGCCAAGGCACACGAAATGCTGTTACCTTCCCACCAAAGTTGATCTACTTGCAATTTCTAGCTTTTGAACTGCTAGGTTGGCAGGAGCTGGAGCCAGAGACGGGAGCTCACTTCGTCACGCAGCACTAGGGTCTTGAACTGCCGAGGTACAGACCTTCCGGTCTCCAGTTCAGCATCTTAACCACTGAGCCACCACGGCCTCAATACAGTCTGACCAGCATAAATCATTTACACTCAGTCACAAGTAATAAAAGTTAAATAGAATACCCATGTCATAGAAAATAAAAGTTACACAGGGCACTCTAGGTTTTCACAAAAACTCTACAGTTTTACCTTTCCCCTCCCCCCTCCTCAATTTCTCCTGCCAATCAAAGGGAATTACCAATGCATTCATGCACCACTGGGAGTTTCCCTGGCTTTTCTCCAGTCTTTCTCTAACCTGCTTTGAGAAAGAAGTTTTGGGAAAGATCACAGTAAAGCCTGAATGGTTTCTATGTTGGTGGGGAAATTTGGATTTTCCCGCCCACACGGCAGCCAGTTTCCCTGCCCCATGGCAGCCATTTCTTTTCCCCGCCATTGAGAGAGCTTTTCATTTTGTTAAAAAATTGGCACTAGAATATCATTGTATCAACATACCATTGTAACAATAGGTGTAGTAGGTACTCTGAACTCTCAGTTTTTGTTAAAACAAAGTAAGTCTCTACTTCTCTCCCTTGCAGAGATATAAGGAAAAAAGGCATAGCTTTGCAAGGGAAGAAGCTAGAGACATACTTTTAAAAAAATGAAACCTGGGATTCAGAACACCTATTTTATTATTTATGATTTATTTTTATTTAAGTGGATTTTTTCAGCTTCCCTCCCCTGGCAAGCCGGGCTCAGAGTGGTGTACAACATAGTCATAAATATCAATTAAAAACAAGTTAAAACCAGTAACAGAGAAATTTAGCTGGAGATGGTGCAAGAAAAGGCAGTAACACTGCTATCTCACAGGTAGGGGGGAATGCTAGGATGGAACCATTGCTGTCCTCTACTGAATGCCTGGCAGAACATCTCGGCCTTACAGGCCCTGCGGAACTGTAACAGGTCTCGCAGTGCATGGATGTTATTTGGCAAAGAGTTTCACCAGCTTGGAGCCAGGGCAGAAAAGGCCCTGGCTCTGGTTGAGGACAGCCAGAACTAAAGCTCACACAACACTACACCCACATTCACAATAGGATATTGATAGAGCAATTTTTTTAAAAAATTCAAAAGTCCTGGTGGCCTAGGGAACGGGGTGGCCACCTCTGGGGGACTGGAGTAGGGGAATTGCAAGGAAACCATGTGGAAACACCGTTGCAGCAGAACTTTCCCAGCAACAGAGAAACTACAAAATCCTGTCCCACTGTGGAAGCCACCTTACAGAAAAGTGACTCTACACCTGACAGGCTCCTTGTGAAACACTTATTTAGACAACTCATTCTAGTACCTATGGGCAATTAAAGCGTGATAGAATTCTCATCATGATTTATAATTTCCAATGGATAATCATCTACTCCACATTTTATCACTTGTGCAGTTCAAATGTATAGTAAACCCACTCTACTACATGGAATATTATACAAATGGCAAAAGTCATCCCAGAAAGCAATTTTCAACATAATTTGGTTGTGTATTGAGATTATTATGCCAGGGCAAAGGTCAGTTTCCACATTTTTTTTGTCTTGTTTTGCCATCAAGTTGCAGGTGATGTATGGTGACACTATAGGGTTTGCAAGGCAAGAGACGTTCAGAGGTGGTTTGCCATTGCCTGCCTCTGCACAGCGACCCTAGTATTCTTTGGCAGACTCCCATGGGCTAAAATTAGAGGTCATTTCGGGAGGGATCGCGGGGGATTACAGTTCCCCCGGGTGAGGTACGGGGGCGGGGCACATGACGAAGCCCCGCCCCCTGCTTCCGGCCCCTTCCGGCCCTCATTCAGCCAGGAGGAGGCAGGAGAAGAGGGGGGTAAGTTGCTTCCTCCCCACCTCTCCCCACCCCTGCCTGGGGCCAGGGAGGGCCTTCGTGGGGCTTCCTTGCTCACCCACCGGTCTTGCAGGTCCACCACCGGGCCCCTCATGGGGCTCGGCAGTGGAGCTGCACCGTTGGGGGCAGTGTGTGTGGCCTTATGACACACTTCTGGTGATGTCAGGGTGTGTGGCATATGCTAATGAGTTATGCTAATGAGTTCCCCTAGCTCTTTTTCTATGAAAGGACCCCTGGCTAAAATAATCATGATTTGCCCCGAGGTTATTTGTTCTTCCATGTTCAGAGGTATATAGGACGAGAGTTTACCTTATCCTTGTTTGGCCAACTGTATGGGCCCAGATGACGAAACCACACAGGAAAGAGAGAGCACAGGCCTGAGATGGTTCGGCTGTCTGGACTCAGGCGGCCACTCAAGTAGGTCGGGGCAGGGGGGCGCTCACTTCACCCCCGGGGTAGTTTGGTTGTCCCGACTGAGGTGATTCATGTGCTTCAGCTCACCCCTGGGAGTCGGTTGTGTGGATGTCTCTCTGGGGTCCTCAGAAGACTCTTCTAGCGGCCAGGAGGAAAATGCACTCTGACCGAGGCGGGAAGCGACAAGGCCGCCCTAGGCCAGGGGAGGGACTAGAACTTTCTGCGGCCGGGAGCGAGGCGTCGACGGCGGCTTCCCTCTCAGGCAGGCAGGCCCGCAGCCTGATCCATGTCCCTCCCTCCCTCCCGCTTGGAGTGCGGCCCGCCCTCGCTCACTCCCCCCTGGCAGCACGGAGCGAGCAGTCGAGCGCAGGCAGGGAGCACCAGCCAGCCTTCCCACCTCTGGCACCGGGACTGACTGACACACACACACAGCGGGCACGGACACCCACCCGGCGTCGCCACCGCCATGACCCACTTCAACAAGGGCCCCTCTTACGGGCTCTCCGCCGAGGTCAAGAACAAGGTAGGGCTCAGCCTGGGGAGGGGTGGCCCGCTCGGTCGCCTCCGTTGCCTGCCCACCCGCTCGGCCTTTGTTTGTGCTGGAGGATAGATAGGGCCGTGTTAGGAGGGAGGGGTGCAAGAGGAGTTGTCCCTTTCTCCGGGTAAGAGATGGCCGAAAAAGGGGGTGTATGTGCGGGGGGGGGTGGATGGAAATTGCCTCTTCCCTTTGCTCCGTTCCTCAGGTTGGGAGAGTTTCATCCCACCAGCACCTCTCCCCCCACCCCCTTTAGCACAAGCACATATATTTTCTGGTTGTAGAAACTGCCTTCATAGCCTCCTCTTTTGAGGCAGAAGGAAATAAGCCTTTTCCTTCTCTCCAGCACCTTCACTTTCATTGTGCCATTTCAATGAAACATCATGCTTGGCGTATAAGAAGAGCTTCTTTATTTTAAAAAAAGGGAGAAAAGTCTACAACTTAATGCTGTGATTTTTATTAAAGGATGGGCTTTTGCTGTAGAAGTTGGAAGGAAATAAACTGTACCCCCCTATCCCACTCTTGCTTAGAGTGCAGTGATTTGCCCTGCAGAATTATTCCAGCTTCTATTGAAATCGATGGGTTTAGATGGAAGTACTTGAATGGGACTGAACTGCTTTGCTTGGTTGCTTTTATGGGACACGGAGGAGCGACTACTCGCTTCAAAGCCCTGATTTGCTTGGGGAAGAGACCACCATTCTTTCCTCCCAGTTCGGAATGTGAGCCCTGTATCCTCCTTTCCTAGATAGACGTGAGGCGGATCACGCACCCAGACGCTCCCAACCTCTCCCTTTTTTGAAAGCATTCTTCGCGTCGATTTCTCATTAAACATCAAACAGTAATAAATTTCGTTAAGCAGATGACGTAAAATTAAAACGGGGGGGGGGCAAACAAAGGTAAATTGGATTTTGCAGAGCGTCTCGTGCTCTGTTGCGTGCGCTCTTCCCCACCCCACCCCCCTTTTACTCTTGTGTGTGATGATGAAAGCGCTCGAGAGTCCCCATCTTTCCCACCCCCTTGTTCTGGAGGCACAGAAGGGAAGAGATGGCTCTCCTCTTCGCCGCTGCGGTGGCGCACTGACTTAAGAAACATTCCTCTGTGGCAGACTCCCCTTTTCCGAGCCCGCTGTCTTTGATTGTGAGAAGCGGTTCCTCGTCCGTGACGCGTTTGGAAGTTTTTGAAACAGGATCGCACTCTTTGGTTTGGGGGGCTGGGGGGCGTCTGCATGTCCTCTGTCCTTCTGCGGGAGATTGTTTCCCAGGGCGAGCGGGGGACACTTTCTCTCTGGACTAATCGCTCCCCAGCTGCAGAGGCCATCAGGCCGTCTCTCTCTCTTGCGGGACAGGCAGAAGGTGCCGGACGAATAAACAAAGGAGAGAAAAGCTGGTCGAGGCGTTTTTGCGCTCGCGGTTGTGCTTTCCTCAAGCCGCTATGAGAGAGCTGCTGTGGAGTCTGTCTGGGGTTTTCCCTCCTCCTCCCTTCCCTTCTCCGGGGCGTCTCCTAAGACCCTCGCTCCTATTTCTGCCTGTGGGACCCACCCAAGGTCGGGAGATGGCGGCAGCAAGGGGGAGTGTGTGCGGTGCTTCCAGTCTACGTGGCTCCAGTCTAACGCTTACTAGCGCCAGGCAGGATGGTGTGCTGGTGGGGAACTGACTGGCGCACACCCTCGCCTTCTCTTCACAGCCGGCCCTTTCCTCTTTCTTACAGAGCTCCCCAGGCCCCGGCCTAGGAGAATACTTGATGGCTTTGAACGGAAAGTAAAATATGCATAAAACTCAAGCCTGCGCATCAATAGTATAGTGGAGAGAGAGGGGTTTCTGAAGTGAGCCTTGTTGTTAAAACCGTAATGGAAAGGATTGTCAAATCAAAATGTCCCCCAAAGTAGCATTCACTCTGTGGGGAAAAAAGTGAGAAAGGGATGATGCTTTTTTAAAAAAGAGAGTGGGATACAGTTCCGCTGGATCCAGTTTTCCCAGTGTCTCCCCCCCCCCAGTTCTGACACTATGACTCATGTAGTCCTCCCGTCTGCACCTCTTTAGTCTAGTCATTACCGTCCCCTGCATCTTCATTTGATACTGTCTCCTCACTTGCACATTTCCTGTCTGCTCTTGGATGCTGTCATATTTTTCCAAGCGTCATGATGCACTGATATGGGAATGGCGCCAGATTTCAGGGGTGTTTGGTTTGTTTTTGATTCCTTCCATTCTGGACAGAAGTGTTAATTAAAAAAAACCACTGCAGTGAAGCTTGGCAAATAAACCAACATCATATTGTTAATTTTCTGATCCTTTTTGGTCTGGGAAAGGATGAGAAATGCCACCTGTTCCCCCCCCCCCAGATGCACACTTCCAGCTCAAAGCCCCTGCACATTCCTACCACATTACATCATGGGGTACTGGGGAGAGACCAGCCAATCCGTGTGGGCGTTGTGCACAGAATGCTCATTGTCTCCACACTGCTGCTCTCAAGTCCAAAGTGGTAGGGAGGAGTGGGGGAAGATAGAGACACAAAAGAAGCTGCTTCTGGTTGGGTTTTAGTTTCCATTAACTCCTCTGGGAAATAAAGTATTCCAAGACTCTCTTCACTCTTCATCTAGAGAGTATGTTATAGTGGCACTGAATCCCCATGACAAAACACAATAGTATAATAATGGCAAGATGACATATAGTACATAGAAAATGAGAATGAAGCAAAGCTGGATTTTTCACTAAAGGGGGAGACTTGGGGGGGGGTTGAAACAAACAATTCCTTTAAGTATTTATTTTATTTTTGTTCTCCAAGTCAGTTTCACTTTTAGCTGTGTATTTGCCTCAGCCTTTTTAAAAAGCTCATTTGCATGTATGTTTATTGACAAGTAATTCCCAGTGATTCAGTAAGTGAGCACAGGACTTCAGCCTAATGGTGATGCCATGGGTTCTTGTTGAAGTCGATATTATGTTTGCTTTGATTGTCCCTGCTTTTCCACCTGCTTTTATAATCTACATCTGTTCTACATTATTCACTGAGTTAAATCCAAAGAACTGCAAAGGTCTTCACTCATGGAACTGAAGATTCTTATTTTCTCCCTCCCACTGTAGCCTCCCTGCACCCCCAAATTACTGCTGCTGGGTCAGGGGACCCTGAAGAACATCATGATGCGTGGGTGTGCAGTTGGGGGGTTTGGTAAAAATACCCACCCACACACACACACAATGGTAGAAATGGCCTTCCACTGGCAGAAGATGAGCTTTGGATCCAGCCCATGGATTTGATCAGTAATTTCTCCATAAAATGAAATGCAGAAATTCACAGACACTCTATGACAAAAGCTTGTTTTATATAGCCATTCATATGTTTGAGCTGTACACACTGTCTAATCAAACATAACCGTCAAATCCTTTCCAGATTTTATTACAGTCAAACTATATCCAACTTCACTGGCTTGTACTTTTAGTGAAATAACTAGGCTACATATTCATTTACATATTATTGGGATCTGTTGTAACAGAATAACAAAAAAGTTTTAGGACTTTGATCACAAAGTTGTTGAATACATTGTATCTGAAAACCCTAACAAATGTGGCAAGTATTAGCCCATGAAAAATTAACTTGGGAATACATTTTCATGAAGATGCAACACACTGTATGCATGTGTACACACAATTTCCTTGCTATCCAATTAGTGACATTCTTATGGCAGAATTATCGCTCTGTAAGTTGTCATTGATTCATGTCCAGCTTTGTTTATTTAGATTTATGGCTTGACAGTTCAGTACAACTTTTAAGCATAATGCTGATGCAATAGAATAAATGTGCTCATTTTGCAATATCTGTATGTATAAAATGGTCTTTAAAGGACTGCAGCTACATAGTTGTAAAGTAGCTAACATTGCTGTAAAGTATGCTTGTGAGATGCTTTGTACAAAGGAATTGTTTCCTTCATAGGTGGTTTATTGCAGTGATCGTGACGAATAGAGAGACTGCTGTATATTGGCAGAAGAATAGCATTCCAGTATTAGTTTGTCTGAAAAATAACGTATGATTTTTCACTGCTTGGTTCATATGTCTGTTGTTCAGTCCATTCCTACTCTGTAGGACCATTGGTTTCAGTGGAACATACTTCCAAGTGCACTGTTTCTTCTCCAAAGCATGTTTATTCCAAAGTGAACTCAGTAGCCATTAATGGGACTTATTTCTTGGTGAGTGGGTTAGGATCACACTCTGTGACATCTGTCTTTCTTTTAACTATCATATTTTCTAATGTCCGTTCACATGGATCTTATTCAAGTGCTATCCTTCAACAAGCAACTCATTAGAAAATTTACATGACTAACAAAATCTGTTCCTCAAATGGCTGTATGTAATTATACCATTTTAATGTGTTTTTAATCTTGATCTTGTTAATCTTCATAACTTCATAGTTCTCATTTTGCATTTGGGAAGCTGAAACGGAGGTAAACAGACTGCAATTGGTTCCCTATTTTTCATATTTTCTTCTCCTTGAGTATTTCAATTAATATTTCTTGGGTAGAAGTATTTAATTATTGTGAGGCCTTACAAAGAAATTGCTTGTCAAGAAATTATGGGTCGGATCCAGTGCAAAATTTCTGCTTGCGCTAGAGCTCTTGTGAAGGGATATGTAAGAAAAAGACTGCAGTAGCCATTTGCACTAAATCAAACTTTTTGTATCCCCACTTTGTTTCTGCTTGCACAAGATGTTGTGCAATCAATTTCTAGGCACTTTGATATATAGGGATGAAAATGATGGGTATTGCAGAAGATCTTGTACAAGCGGAACTGCACTAAGTCCTGTTATGTTTCCATATGTGCATCAGTGGATCCCGGCATATATGTCTAATGGAGTCTGTCTCATTAAGTAAATTAACATAATTTTATGTTACCAAGAAACTTTTGTTTCTGCTCCAAAAGAAAGAGGGACAAAGAAGAGGCAAATAGTGAAAGATATTAGCAGAAGAAAAAGTACTGAGGATATATTTTCATGCTTACTC